ATTGAATTGATTGAAGTCTGATCAGCCTTTCTTGAGTTAGAGCTTCTTCATTCGGTAGTAGGAGATTGGTTATACGAGAGTTAGCCAGTTTACTGCTTTGTAATGGAATCCAATTCCAGTAGTGGAGTTCTGTGCTTATTGCTTCAGCTTTCTATCCCGGTGACGACTAGTCGTCTGTCGGGTCTTCCGCAGTCTAATCAACAGTAAATCAACCCAGGGTAATTACAATTGAGACCTAACTAAGGAGCTAGGGGGACTCATTCCCGAGTGACTCTTTTTTGCTTGAGAAAACCAAACCAATTCCTGCTTTCTTACTGCTTTTGCTTAAAACAACAATCACTTGACTTAGTTGGCTAGATAATAGATAATCATGGAGTAGGCAGTAGATCTAGACCCCGGGTTGATAATAGAACTTGTCACTTTACTGCATTGCCAGACTGCGATTACACTTGGTCGTAGTTTGGTGTTGTGTTTTGGCGTGTCACAAGCCGAATTGGCATTTTGTTTCACCATGTTTGGATCAAGCTGGGAAGTAAAAAGGGCAGTGAGACACTTATGGTTACATGAGTGCTGCAAAGTAAGGAAACTTATTTGAGCAAAGGGTTACCAACGAAGTAGTTATGGTAAGAATAAATGATCATGAGAAGCAAGTATACGAAGGGTGTTGATGGAAGGACGAGTTCCGAGGAAATTTCTGGGGCGAAATGTTTATAAGGGTGGGGGAAATGTAACACCCCGATATTTTGGTTTTAGGTTCGACCTTTATTATTATTATAAAGGAGGGGGGTCGAGAGGACCGAGCGGCCCTCATTAATCCCAAACCCCCACCCTAAAATTTTCCCCACCATTAATTGTTCCCCCACGTAGAGATCCCCCAAAACCCTTCCCCTTCCGCTAACTGCCCCGCCGCCTCTCTTTTTGTGGCCAAGGAATTAATTCTGCCAACCCTGCTCCCCATCGCGAGCAAGAAGAAGCCGCCCAGACCCCGATCCCGACCCCGACCCCATCCCTTTCGTTCTAGGTAAGGATCGTGAACCCCTTTGCTGTTTCTAAACTCGATTCATTGATAGTCTAATCCGAAGCTCGTTTTTTTTAGCGGTGACGGTGAGGGTTCGATCAACGAGGAGATCAACGTCCCGGTTCATCAAACCTAGGCCTAGGCACGTTCTAGATGTAAGGGAACTCGATCCCTTTGAGTTAGATCGATTTGGTTATTTTTCGTGAGGGTGCGATTCTGGGTTTTAGCAACAGGCGTTACAGGCTTTTAGTGACAGATTTTGGGTGGACACTAAAGCTGCTGGGAATTTTCAGAAGGGTATTTTTGGATGTTTTATTTGTTTCGAGCCTCTTTAAAGGTTGTTTCCTAAATTTAGCAATTTTATAAATTGAACGACGTCTAGAAGATGATTGTAATTTAATTTGGGAATTTTTGGAAATGTATTTCTATTTTTAGAAATTTTTCTATATTCATTTTAATTAATTAAAAAGCTTTCCGAGGGGTTTTTAAGGGTTTGATAATTTTCCAGGGTATAGGTACTCATGATTGACATGGTAAAATTATTGTCCAAAATTTTAAGAAGGTTCAAGTTAGATGATAATCCGTCCAAGACTAAAATAATTAAGAAAAAAGGTCGTTTTTGAAGGGATTAATTCTAGAAAATTTTAATGGGGGTTAATTGACCCTTGGAATGAGGTTCAAAGACTGGAGTTTGAGGAGAGGATGTCCTAGTGATTCAAAAGGGGTTTTTAAATCAAGAAAAGGTCGTCTAAGAAAATGGATTCTTATTAAAAGGTTTCCCCAAGAAAATCCGGCTAAGGAGAAGTTTCTTCGAGGAAGGAGTTGAGGATTCATCTTTTCGAGGTGAGTGTAAAGGGGGTAAAATCTCTGTTGTAGGTCTTTTAGTTTCTGTTTTTCGTTCAAGTTATTATTTAGTCAATTTTCTAGTATCCCCGATATGTGTGTGAGGCATCCCACCGCCTGTAAGGGTGGAGGCACGCGTTGTGCTATGTATGAATGTATGGATGTATGATTGTAATAGTTGGTTAATGGTAAGAGGAACCCCCGGGCGGTTGGGCCACAACTGGACGCAGTAGATGGTCGGGTCACTCCTGGACGGTGAGACGTAACGCAGCAGTTGATCGAGTATGTTGGGTCACTACTGGATGGCGAGGCGTAACGCAGTAGTGGACGGGCATGGACTGGACGGCGAGACGTAACGCAGTGTCATTGCTGAGTTTGGGCATGCAACTGGACGGCGAGACGTAACACGGTTGGCATACTAGGGTAGGGACACCGGACAGCGAGACGTAACGCGGTGGTCCCTTTTGTTGGTGTCTTTAGATTAAGAATTTGAGTAAGGGATTTCTAAAGATAAGATAGGAGTAGAGATCTCTTATAGACTGTTTGATAGTAAAGTTTAACGGATGAAAGCGAGAACGACTTTCGTCTAATGAAGGCATTTACCCTAATAATGTGTTTAATAAGGAGTTTGCCTAGGGCAAAGACCTTAGGAAGGAACGACGAGACTGACCCCTTCTCATTCACCAGGTCGAGGAATGGTTAGCAGAGGTAGATTTCGAGAAGAGGCAAGGCGAGGCGAGTAGTTGCACCAGCATTGAGGAGAGTTAAGGAATTTGTGAAGAGTCAGAGCTAGAATAGTTTAATTCCTTTGTTACATGGTTAGGAGTGTAGACTGGAGATTCTTATTTCATTCATTTTAAGTATCGAGATTGTCATTTTTCCAAGTCTTCAGGCTTTTTGTTTGAAATTCTTAAACATTGTCGATTTAGTTTATTTTAGAAAGTGGTTTGGTTGCTTCGGAGTAACCGATTTTCGGTTTGTGTTGTGGTTTGGTTTTCTAAAAAGATTGGGTTGTTTCATCGTTTGAAACTACTCCCTTCACTTCATCACTCCTAACCTTAGTGTCAATTTCAAGCTTGATTCTCACCTTCCCATCCCTCAAAATTAAGGTCCCCTCATTAACGTCTATCAATGTTTGGCGGTGGCAAGAAAGGGACGACCGAGGATGAGTGGCATATCCGAGTCCTCACTTATGTCGAGAATCACGATTCGGATAGCAGAACTTGCCCACTCTCACCATCATGTCATCCACTGTTACACCCCGACCTTTGGGTTCAGGTTCGACCATAATACGTGAACGGTTGGATGAACGGTTACATACTAAGGACTGCAACCGCGGATTAGGAATAATAATAATTATTATTATTATAAAAAAAAAACAAACTGGCCGAGAGGGCGCTCGGCCCTCAATACCCCCCATGCCAAAAATTCCATCCCCATTCACTTAATCCCCATCAAAACCCAAACACCCCCGATCCCCTCCATTTATTTTCCCCTCCCAATTGTTTCACCTGCCGCCGCCTGAATTCCACCACCTCGGTTTCGGCTGCTGTTGTGGCGCCCAGGGCTTTGGCTTATCGACAGGGCGAATAGAAAGAATATAAAAAATAGAGACCCTTGTTCTCCCGAGCATGTGGTGGCTTGTAGCGCTCTGCTCTCGATTTTAAAGCGGAAGGGCTGCGTGGTGGGGACGAAAGAGCTGCTTGGAGAAGCGGTGGAGATGGGACTTGAGCTGAATTCGATATCTTGGAATGGGATGAATGTCGGGTTTAATCACAGCCGACAGTTTAAAGTTTCGGTCTTGATGTTTTGAGATAGGCATTCGGAAGGGTTTAAGCCTGATGGGACCAGCGTGCTTCCAGTAGTTGGTGACGTGGAGATATTACCCTGCGGGGTTCAGATTCATGGCGGTGTGATCAAGCAAGGTTTACCCCAGGATAACTGGGTTGTTAGCTCGCTTGTCGATATGTATGGGAATGCGCACGTCTGAATGAGATGTCGAAAGTCTGCGAGGAGTTTCCTGAGATGGATGTTGGAAGCGAGTATGGAAATTTGAGAGCAAAATCAGAGCCAGTTCCGCTAAGGTGAGTGTAAAGGGGGTAAATTCTACGTCTTACGTGTTCTTTCAAGAGTTACAAGTTTTGAGAAATTTTGATGAAGTGAATGCCGTTGTTTGATTGTGCTTATGATTGATGATATGTGATTTTGTTGAGCTATGCTTGATGTGAATGTGTATGAGTTCTTATTTAAATTTAAGCGTAAGTTTATAAGTGATTGTTAAAGTTAAGAAGCAAGTCCTTTTTAAGAAGTAACTCGCCTTCAAGAAGGTGAAGTCGTTTTAAGTGTTTTTTTTTTTGTCACTAGCGCCAGTCCGTTGCTTTTGAGACAGTTTGAGATAGAGCAGCAGTTATGCTCTTGAGATTTTAAGATGGGCAGCAGTTATGCCCTTGAGAATCGTGGTGAAGAGCCACCACGATAAGTTTAAGATGTTAGGGGGATGAATCGTAACGACTTCCCTAACTAAGTTTAAGTTTAAGGAAAGCCTAGGTGGCTTCTCATACGTATGAGTTGGCAACCGGACTAGCTAGTGAGGGATCCTAGTGTCAGTCAAAATATTTAAGTCAAGTTTTGAGCATTAAGAAGGGAGAGTAACTTTAACTCCCGAAGAATTTTATGAGTTATAAATGTTAAGAGTGGAAGTAGAAAACAACTTCCACTAATAGAAGTTAAGTGTTTAGAGAAGAATACTAAAGTACAGTAAGAATATTAAACGTAAGGGCGTAGACTGACCCCATCTCACTCACCAGGGCTTCGTAAAGGAAAAAGCGAGAACTAGACCGATAGTTGCAGCTAGAGGAGCAGTTAGTGAGCAGCGAGATGGAGAAAGCTGTTCGAGGCAAGCCAGGTAGAGGAGAGTAGTATAAGCATCACAGAGGATGCTTAGTCAAGGTTTTCAGCAGCAACAGTTTCAGAGTTTATTAGTTAATTACTTTTATGATTATGAGTACAGACTAGAGATTATTTTGAGATCAGATTGAGATTTAAAGTTTGAGTTTAATTTGCCCACATGTTAGGGCTTTGCTAGTCAAAGTGTGTGTTTTCAGTATTTTATTTATGAAAATCTTTCCCAATTGTAATTTAAGATTTGAGTATTTTATTTATCAAGGGCATTTTGGTAAAAGTAGTACCCGGCCGGGTTAGGGTGTGTCATCCACAATACCCCTCGAGCTAATGAAATAACGGTTGGCTAAGGTGATGCTAAGCTTTAAGGTCTTAAGTTCACCTACTTCTAACTTTTTGAAAAGCTTGTAGGGCATCACATTAACACTAGCTCCTAGGTCCGCCAAGGCATTGTATATATGATGGTTACCAATATCGAGAGGGATATTAAAGCTACCTGGGTCGGACCGCTTTTTGGGAAAGCGGTCGAGGAGGTAAGCCGAACACTCCTCGCAAGAGTCACGTTGGCGAGGCCTTGAAGCTTTGCCTTCTTGGTGAGGAATCCTTTGTTGTACTTGGCAGATCTTGGCATTTGAGCCATAGCTTAAAGGAAAGGGATGTTGAGGTGGAGGTTGCGGAGAATTTCCATGAAACCTCCACACTCATTCTCCAACCTCTCCTTGTACATACTTGTGGGATAAGGAAGAGGTGGTGTGTATCCATACTCCGGCAATGCCTTCCTTGCCGCCTTCCTCTCATTCCTCGAGGGCTTCCCTTCTCCCTTCTTTGGGTTGGTCTCTTCCTTTTTGGTATCTTCCTTATCCATCACTTCATTAGTGGCGATTTCCGGAATAGCCTTCGCACTCCTCACTTGAAGTGCATTTACCCCGGAATGGTCTTTGGGGTTCGCCAGGGTTTGGAAAGGTAAAGATGGGTCTCTCGGTGAGGTTGCCGATTTGCTACTCCAAGCTTTGGAGGCTCGCTTGATGGCTTCGGAGACCCGCATCAACCGAGGTAAACTTGGTAGTCTCCACATCCATAAATTTCTCTATCTTCTCAAACTTTTGGCTAGTCGTACTCACAAAGGTGTTCACTAGGTCTTCAATCTTAGATAGCTTGTCGGGTTGTTGTTGAAACCCTAGGCCACCTTGTGCTTGGTACGGTTGTTGGAAGCTTGAGCCTTGAACTTGAGTCCTGTGTTGAATGAAGGTTGACAGAGGTTGGAAATTTCCCAAGTCTACACACAATCGAAAAACACACCAAGTCTAGCACAAGCAAAGCACACACAATTGCAAAACTGAAAATTAAAAGCTAGATTAACAACCGACAACTTTTTCAAGATAACAGACTGTTGATTCCCGGCAACGGCGTCAAAAACTTGACTCGCAAGAAACTAGACAACAATATAATCCTGAATAGAGTCCAAATTTTTAAACTCTAGACAGGTACAGTATAGAGGAAGTATTTAAATATCAACTTGGGCCAGTCCGTCTACCCCTGCTTCAATAGTTTTAATCATTATCTAGTAACAAAGTTTTGGTTTAAAAGTTTTCTAATTATAATAAAATCGGGCAAAGGTAAATGGTTTTGAAAACTCTTTTGTGGAAGGATCACTCAGGTGTCGCTTCCCCCTAACTACTACCATGATATATGAATTGGAACGATTTCTTTGGATAAGGTAACCGCGAATCGCAGAGGGATATATATATGGTCAGATACCACAATCTCAATTGCTAAACAGAGGTAAACATCATAGGCCATGTCACTCGACCCTCTCGGTTTAGGCAATTGGTAGTTGACTTACTCCCTCACTCAACTCAAAGGTCGGACATCTTAATCGCGATTAACTCGATTGAGTCTCCCTTGCAAGAGGGATTTTCCTCTCTAAGCTAGGTTAAGGTGGCTAATTAGATTGCTAGCACCAACATGCACAAACCTAAGGGTGCTAATCATAATTATGCACAATATGTAGAAAGATTTGGGAAATCAGAGACAGTCGACAAAATAGCTCGTTGGGAGTAAATCAACATCACTAGAAGCTTGGAAATCAAGTCAAAATCAATCAACTGATTGATTACATAATCAGCTCAAGAATCACTCCCTAAATCAAGCGTTGCAAATAAGGAAAGACGAGGTGTTTCCAACTCACACAAATCTTCACCTCCTCATCTATAAAAGGGACTGAATTGCATTACCTCAAGGCAATTTTGTGAGACAACGGAAAAGGGTTTCGAAACAAAAGGGTTTAGCAAAGGGGAAGAGGTTCTTTGCTAGTGGCTGATACCAATTCCGGAGTTTGGATTTTGGGTTGCTTATTCGTCATTCTACTTTATTTCTAGTATTTCTTTCTTTGAGTCTTTGTTTCAATTTGCTTCTTTTGTATGTGTAAGTTAGATCGTAAAGAAAATAAAAATAGAGTCGTAGGTGTGGACGTAGCCCATTGCACCAGGGTGAACCACGTTAAAAATATCGTGTGTTCTTTAGATTTCTGCACTTTTCTTTTCGTACTTCATCTTCCATATCAATTCTCTGTTTTCCAAGGATTTTTTATCCAAGGAAGAAAACAGACCAAAGTATTCTCTATTGGTCTGCTCGGCTGGGCTCACCAATTCTCAAGCCTATCTCAACGTTGGCTTTCTGCTTATAGATTTCGAGTGGGCTTGAGAAGATCAGGCCCAAACTGAAGGGGAGAATCATAACGAAAACACTGAAGGACTTCTCCTTCATTTTCGATCTTCTTCCCTCTTCTTCTTCTGCTTTACTTTCCCAAACTTACAATCCCTAAAATCGGATCCTTTGATTTCAATTGGTATCAGAGCCAATCCCTTGATTGAGCTACATACTGCCAAGGGAATCGATCATTGGCTCCTCTGTCTTCGGTCATGCATCATACAATCATCCGCCTTTATTCACAGGAACGAATTACACCTCCTGGAAACGCTGAATGGAAACCTTCCTTTGGGGAGTCGATGAAGCTCTCTGGTCGGTATTAAGAGATGGTCCTCTTGCCATGGATCTTTCCCAGCGATCCACCTGGAATGATGCTCAGAAGAAAAGCGCCCAGCTCAACAAAAGGGCGATGCACATTCTTCACTCGGGCATGGCAGCGACTGAGGCGGATAAGATCGAGCACTGCGACACGGCTCAGGAGATCTAGATTTCCCTTGAGAAGACATATGAAGGAACCTCGAACATAAAGGAGACACACATCGATCTCCTAATGCACGAGTACGAGACATTCGCCATGAACCCAGGTGAGGATATTCAATCCATGTATTCTCGCTTTACTATCATTCTAACCAAATTAAAGGGTTTAGGAAAATCTTTCGTAAGTAAGGATATAAATCGAAAGATTCTTCGTTCATTACCTAAGGAATGGTTACCTAAAAGAACTGCAGTCGAGGAGGCGCAAAATCTAAATACTTTACCAGTTGATGAATTGATTGGTTCATTATTGAGCCATGAGCATGTTGTTAGGCAAGTTCATGGTGAAGATAAGAGGCAAAAAAGTCTCGCTTTTCGAACTAGAGTCTATCAGGATGACTCTGCAGATGATTCGTTTCTTGATATTGATAGGGAAACAGCCTTTCTTAGTAAGCGCCTTCAACGAATAATTAAACATAAGAATGAGCAAAAACGGTTCAATACCACCTCCGGAAAATTCACTAGTCATGATAGAACTCACCCTGGTTTCAAGGATAGGCTGCTTTCTAGGCAGACCAGAGATGTGGATGCAGGTACTTCGGCTAAGGAACCACAAGGCTGCTACAAGTGTGGCCAACCAGGCCATATCCGTGCACATTGTCCTCTCACACTCAAAGCCAAAGAAAAAGCCATGATGGCCTCTTGGAGTGACTACGACTCTGAGTCAGATGATGATCAGGTAGACGAGGAAGCATTTATGTCATTTGCCATGAATGTAGAAGGTAACTCTGCCCACTCTTCTGCTGAACTTGCCTTCAAAACAGCAACATTTAACTCAGACATGAATGATGAGCCCCACTGGTATATGGATAGTGGGTGCTCCCATCACATGACTGGCACAAAGCAGTTGTTCTCTTCTCTATCCCCTAGAAACGGTGGTAAGGTTATCTTTGGTGATGATAGTTCTGGAAATATCATTGGTCATGGTACTATTGGCCAAGAACCCTTTCCTGTCATTCATAACGTTTTGCTGGTCGAGGGTCTAAAACATAACTTACTCTCAATAAGTCAGTTATGTAGTAGTGGATATAAAGTGATTTTTGAAGCATCTCATTGTGTTGTTGAAAACTCACAAGATCACAAAACTTTGTTTGTTGGAAACCGTCAGAATAACATGTATGTTATTAATTTCCAGAAATTAGGATCATCCGGTGAAATATGTTTTGTGGCTGCATCACAATTAGAACTCCTTTGGCATCGTAAGTTGTGACATGTTAGTCTATCCATACTGTCTCGTCTGTCTAAATCTGAATTAGTTCGTGGTATTCCTTTATTAAAAGACAAATCAGTTTTTTTCTGCCATATTTGTGTTCAAGGCAAACACACTAAACGATCCTTCAAACCAAAATCTGGAATTACAACCTCTGCAGTTTTTGAACTGCTCCATATGGATCTCTTTGGTCCTTGCAATGTTTCTAGTCTAGGAGGTAAGAATTATGCATTTGTGCTTGTTGATGACTTTTCTCGATATACTTGGGTGTATTTTCTTGGGCATAAGAGTGAAACCTTTTCAAAATTTCAAACTTTTACTCTTACTTTTGATAAGAAAATTTCAACCATCAAAAGTGACAATGGCGGAGAATTTATCTCAAATGAATTTGAAAGCTTATGTGATTCCTTAGGAATTCATCATACCTTCTCTGCTCCTCGTACACCTCAACAAAATGGGGTTGTAGAAAGAAAAAATCGTACCCTAATTGAATGTGCTAGAACCATGCTTCTTGAATATGGATTACCTAAATATTTTTGGGCAGAAGCAGTTAGCACAGCATGCTATATAGGAAATCGAGTTTTAATTCGTAAGCACTTAAATAAGACACCTTATGAAATCTTTAAAGGCAAGAAACCAAGCATTTCTTACTTTCATCCCTTCGGTTGTCGCTATTGTTTGAATACCAAGGATAACTTAGGGAAATTCGATGCCAAGTCTGATGAAGGAATTTTTCTTGGATACTCTATTAAAGGTCAAGCTTATAGGGTTTTTAATAAAAGGACTTAACGGGTTGAGGAAACTGTGAATGTAACCTTTGATGATAGTAATGTAGCTTTGCAGCCTAGCAACCCAGATATGGAAGTATTTGACTTTGCAGAGATGACACATTCATCAAATGCATCGGCCACGACTCAACCTACAGATGCAGACTCCTCGACTCCTGCAACAATTGTCAATTCTGAGGTAGACATACATCAAGAGATCCCTACAACACTCTCTACTGCTTCTGAAGACTCTCTCGAAGTCAACTCGTGTGATCCAGAACTTGACACTCCCAATCTGGATCCGGAAGACACTCTGACAGCTCCAGCACACATCAAGAAACGACATCCCACAAGTCAGGTCATTGGCCAAATAACAGATGGGGTCAGAACTCGAGGTAAGTACACTCCTGGCCAATACGTCTTTGTTTCTCAACATGAACCTAGAAATTATAAGGAAGCCCTGAAAGATGATGAATGGTCTTTTGCTATGATTGAAGAATTGACTCAATTTGAACATCTTCATGTGTGGGATCTAGTTCCATGTCCTGATACTATGACTCCTTTAGGAACAAAATGGGTTTTCGGAATAAAACTGATGAAGAAGGTATAATAATCCGTAATAAAGCTCGTTTAGTTGCTCAAGGATACTCACAAGAAGAAGGGATTGACTATGATGAGACATTTGCACCTGTTGCTCGTCTCGAATCAATCCGTCTTCTCTGTGCTTTTGCTAGTTATATGAACTTTAAATTATATCAGATGGATGTTAAGAGTGCCTTCTTAAATGGTATCATAGAAGAAGATGTCTATGTAACCCAACCCCCTGGTTTTGTAAGTCATGAACACCCAAACTACGTTTTTAAACTAAATAAAGCTCTCTACGGCCTTAAGCAAGCTCCTCGTGCTTGGTATGACCGACTCACGTCGTTCTTACTAAGTCAAGGCTTTGAGCAAGGATCCGTAGACAAAACTTTGTTTATTAAACGTGCTTCTAGTGATCTTCTTTTGGTTCAAGTATATGTCGATGACATTGTTTTTTGATCAACCAATGATCAACTATGTTCTGATTTCTGTGCTTCTATGAAAAGTGTTTTTGAGATGAGCATGATGGGTGAGCTACAATTCTTCCTAGGTCTACAAATAAAACAAACTAGTGAAGGTACTTTTATTAATCAATCTAAGTACATCTCCTCCATGCTTAGTAAATTTGGCTTCAACTCCCTAAATCCTAGCCCTACACCAATGGCTACTACTACTAAGCTTTGTCAGGATGAAACAGGAAACCCGGTAAACGAGTCTCAGTATAGGGGCATGATAGGTTCTTTACTCTATCTTACTGCCAGTCAACCTGACATCCTCTTCTCTGTTTGTCTATGTGCTCGGTTTCAATCAGCACCCAAAGAAAGTCATTTAGCTTCCTTAAAGCGCATTTTTAGGTATATTAAAGGCACATCTGATGTAGGTCTATGGTATCCCCGGCACGATCGCTTTGAT